CTCGCCCGTGCCAATCTGGGCCGCCACGTCGCGCCCCTCTGCAAGCTGGAGGCCTCCATTATGCCCCGCACCCGCAGGCGGCGCGCGCAGCGTCGCGTTCTCGCCCGCCGTCGGCGCCGGCAGCGGCCACAGCAGGGAGCACGCCAGGAGGGCGTCGCGGGCGCGGCGGCGCATCGCGGCCGCGTCTGGAGCGCGCCCGGAGCCGCCTCACCGCTTCAGCCAAAGTGGCTACGGGTAGACTCCTGAAGCCTCTCCGGAGGCATCTGGTGGTCTCCGGAGGGCTGGAGGTCACCTTGAGGAGCACACGGGGCCGTCGTGGAATCCCGCCCGCCCGCCCGCCTAGAAGCACTGGTGGGGCCGACAGCGGCGCCCGGGGCTCGGCGGTCGACGACGACGACGACGACGACGACGACGATGACGACGACGACGGCGGCGGCGGCGGCGGCGGCGACGGCGACGGCGACGACGGTCGGCGACGGCGACGGCGACGGCGACGGCGGTCGGCGGTCGACAGCAAAAGCGACGGTCAACGACGATAACGGTCAAGAACTCGCGGTCCCGGCCTAGCCACGTGGGGCCGTGGACACAGTGGGCATACGCACCCATCAGCAAACCATGCCGAATCTACGCTCTTTCCTCCTCCCTCCTCCCTCCTCTCTCCCCCCCATCCTCCTCCCCATCCTCCTCTGGTTCCTCCTCCAACCTCCCCCCCCTTCTGGGGGTATGACGGGTTCCCTGGCCCTGTCTTCCACCGCGCGTTCCCCCACATGCCTGATGAGGGAAAATCGATTGGGTATCGTTTCTGGATGGGCCGGTGGGGTTACTTTTTCGTCGCAGCCGCAAGCGAAAGCGCATGCGGCGTCAGAGGTCAATCCAGGCAACGGGCGAAGCCTAATTAACCAGCTGGCCGGCGGGGCTACTTTTGTTCGCGAGCGCAAGCGGAAGAGCCGCGCGCCGTCAGAGGATTGCCGAAGAGCAAACACCTGAATTACTACGGCCTAGAACGGGACCGAACGCGGGCAGCCAAGAAGAGGCGGAAACACGCAAACTAAGCGGCGGGGCAAGCTCAACCGCAGCTCAGACGGAACAGGCGAAAACAACCACCGGGCCAAAATGGCGGTGGGTTCGATGGCGCCCACATTGCAGCAGAGTCACTCCCGACATACCTCTCCTCGGCGTTGGGTCTGCATATGCCGAACACAGGACCAGCACCCCACCACAATCGTCAGTCACGGTGCCGCGTAACCACTTCCACATGGGCGAGCCGGCTGTCGAGGAAGGCGTGAACCAGCGCTGGGGGCGAGAGCCTGCATCCAGAAGACGCCCGGTCGGCGAGGCGTTCTGGCCGAACAAACGGCGCGCCACGGGCGAGCCCTGGCCCCCGAGCAGATCCAGCGGAGGCAGAGAGCGGCGGGGGCCGAGGCCACGGTCGCACTGTGGGTGGGCCCGGGCACCTCCCGCGGGGGGACAGCCGCAGAGGGAGGGACGGCCTGGACCAGAGTACCTGCTGGCACCGGCCCCAGCGCCCCGGGGGGGGGCGCCGAGGGCCGAGGAGATAATTATGCCAGCGGAGGCGGGGAGCGACAGGGGCCGAGGGCCACGGTCGCACTGTGGGTGGAGGACGCAGCTAACAGCAGCAGAAGTCGTGAAGACAGCGGGTGGGCCCGGGCACCTCCTTCGGGGGGACAGCCGCAAGAGGAGGGACGGGCCGGACGGACCAGGAAAGCGGCTGGCCGCCGCGAAAGCCTGGGATCAGTGGGTGCTTCTGGGCACCTCCTGCGGGGGGACAGCCGCATGAGGAGGGACGGGCCTCAACGGACCAGGAAAGCGACCGACCGCCGCGGAAGCCTGGGACCATGAAGCGAAGGTGCGTGGGGGACGGGGGCGTTGGGGCGGACGGAGGGCGGATATGGGGATGCAGCTCAACAGCCGCAGAAACAGTGAAGAGCCCGGGGGGCAGCAGCAGCCTCTGTGAGGACCGACGACAGGGGGTGCGTGGGGACGGGGGCCAGGGGACGGACGGGAGGCGGCCGAGGGGGACCAGCGGCGCGTCGCAGAGGAGGAGGAGGGCGCAGCTAACAGCCGCGGAATAAATGTCAAAAGCCGTGGGGAACGTGGGGGGCGGAAGACCGGGGCGGACGGGGGGCGGTAGCCAGGCGGCGGGGGCCGCACCCAGCAGAGGGGGCCGAGGGGCGTGGGGAAAGGGGCGCGGGAGCGAGGGGGGACGGACCGTGGGGACGGGGCCAAACGGGGGCGGCCGGAGGGCGGGCGTGGGGAAGCACAGCCGCGGTCAGAGTGAAATACCGGGGATGGGGGCCCGCAACGAGCAGGGCCCGTGGTGGGGGGGAGCCGCCAGGGCGAGGGTCAAACCCCCCCCCCCCTGGCGCCAGCGACGGCGGGGACGCAGCGACGATTACCAAAACTACCACCACCACAACCCACCACCACCGCTTCAACCCACCACCACCACCACCACCAACCCACCACACAACCACCACCACCACCACAGCCACCACCACCACCACCACAACCACCACCACCACAACTCAACATCACCACCACCACCTCAAAAACCCACCACCACTACCACTACCACCACCACCACCACAATCTACCACACCACCCCCACCATCACCGCCACAACCCCCACCACTACCAGCAGCACAGCCCACCACCACCACCACCACCACCACCACAAACCACACCACCACAACCACAGCCACGACCACCACCACCACCACCTCCACAACCAACCGCCACCACCACAACCCACCACTACCACCACAACCAACTGCCACCACCACAACCCACCACCACCACCACCACCACCACCACCACAACCCACCACCGCCACCACCACCACAACCCACCACCACCACACCACCAAACCACCACCAAAACCACCACCACCACCCACCAGCACAACCACCACCACCACCACCACACCACCCACCACCACCACCACCACAACAAACCACCACACCACCACCACCACAACCACCACCACCGCCACCGCCACCACCACCACCACCACCGTCGTTCTCATCGACGCTCCCCGCCGCCGCCGCCCGCCGCCGCAGGCGCCAGCGCCGGCCCAGTCAAGGAAATCGTCGTCCCCACCGCCGCCGCCAGCCGCCGCCGCCTCCAGCGGCCGCCGCCTCCAGCGGCCGCCGCTGCCAGGGTGGGGGGGTGGGGGGGTTCGAAACAACCCCCCCCTCGTCCGTCACGGGAGAGGGGGGGGGTTCGACCCCCCCCCTCCTCCATCCAGGAAGGGGGGTCCGGTTCCCCCCCCCCTCCAAACGACCACAGAACGCGCTCTTTCATATGTATATGTGTGTATGTATGTATGTATGTATGTATGTATGTATGCATGTATGTATGTAGGTAGGTAGGTAAGTAGGTAGGTAGGTAGGTCGGTAGGTAGGTCGGTAGGTAGGTAGGTAGGTAGGCAGGTAGGTAGGTATGTCTGTATGTCTGTATGTCTGTATGTTGTCTGTATATATGTCTGTCTGTATGTATGTCTGTCGGTCTGTCTGTATGTATGTATGTATGCATGTATGTGTTTAATGTACGCATGTATGTATGTATACACACACCAACTCGGCCACCTAGCAGTCAGAAAGCAATCCCATCCGGGATGCTGACTCGAACCCGTCAAAGACAATACTGAGTCGGCGTTGTCTCTTTCGACATGGGCGTTTTGGCGTCAACGTTGCAAAATGTGCGGCAGGAGTGGGACGGGGCGCCCATCGCGCGCGAAAAGGCGAAATCGCTCTAGCCTCTAGCCGTGACGCCGCGATCGATTTTCATGAGAATTGAATCCCGCTGGGGAGCTGCGCTCATATTTCAATGGGCAATGGATTTATCGACGCTCGAGCGAACGAAAATGCCACTCTCGCGTTGGCGCCGCGGAGATTTCTCCTGAAACTGGCGCTCCCGCTTGGGCGCGGCGCAAATTTCAGCTCGCCGAGTCGTCGGGAACGGGGCCGAGCGCGAACAGACGATTTGTCGCCCTCGGTGCAGACTTCGCCCGGAAGTGGCGTTCCCACGCGTGCGCATCGAATGCTTCGCTCGCTGAATCGACCATCGGTGAGAGCGGCACTGGCAGCGGGGTCGCGCTTCCTTCCTTCCTTCCGAGTCGTACGCCAGGCGGTGCGTGGACAAACAGACCGCGGAAAAGACAACAGAAAAAGCACTTGGAGAATCACAGTGGGAGAATGTGATGGCGCAGCGTGCGCTTCCAGCCCGATTCAGACTGCGCTGCGTCTGCCGTCGCGTGCACACTGCGGAAAGCGGGCTAAATGCTGTCCCCGCCCAGGCACGTCGTGGCAGTGCTGTTCCGGCGTGGAGCATGCTTCGTATTCGCTGCGCTCATCGGTGGCCGCCCGAGAGAAGGCCAACCGGTGCTCTCGCCGCAGCGCCGCGCAAAGGTCTTCTGACCCTCCGCTCCCCCCCCCAAATGCGCGCTGCCCGCGTCGTTCCCCACTCGCCAGGTGGTCAGATGCGGGACCGCGCGCGGGCACCTTTCGTTCGCAAGGTGGTCCCGCGTGCCAGTCCCCCAGAACACCAGACTGGTCCCACCATTGATCATTTTCTCATGGGAGGGAGCGCGGAAGGGCGGGGCACGCTGACTCGTTCGACCTGGCTGACATGACTCCTACTCCTACGTTTCATCCTCCCTCCATTCATCCTCCTCCCCTCCCTCATCATTCTCCCACTCCTCATTTGCCCATCCCCCTCCTGCTCCGCATGATTCTCCTCCTCTCCCTCCTCTTCCTCCTCATGCTCCTCCTGCCCCTCGTCCTCCTCCCCATCCTCCTCTAGGAGGTAGCAATATCAGGGAGAAGGAGAAGTAAGAAATAAGACAAGGACGAGGAAGATGCGGAATGAGGAGGAGGAGAAGGACGGAGGAGGAGGTCAAGAGAGGAAGGGGACGAGCAGGGAAACGCGTTGGACCAGGACGAGCAGAGAGCTGATGAACCAACAACCTGTCGAGTTTTGCGGAGTCGAGAAAGTTCGCCAGCACAGCGTGCCTACGGCGTATCAGGTCCATGAGCCTCCAATGTTGCTGCCGCTAGCGGCACCATGCGCCTCCAATGCCTCCATGAGCCTCCAATGCCTCCATGCTCATCCCGCGCCATGGGGGCGGCCCGACCTTCAATTCATCATGGCTGCAGGTAGGCCATGATAAGGCTATCTTGGAACGACGAGGCCGGGTCCTGAGGAAAACGTGTCCTGAATTCCAGCTCTTTTCCATGGGACCGGTGCTTCGACGTCAACCGCTTCTGACAATCCCGGGGCCCGCAGAGGGAGACCAGGGAAGCCAAAAACCTCGAAACACCTCAAGGCACGATTCCGTCAGGACCCTCTCCTTCATGGCCGGTTCCCGGAACCCCGAACCCCAAAATGTTGCCGTCTCCTGGGGGCGCAGATCTCACTTCCGCAAGCATCCGCCAGCCTTCCGCCAGCTTCCGCTGGCGGAGGTGGCCCCGTTGTACTTCCGCGGGCTTCCGCCAACCTTCCGCCGCCTTCCGCCGAGGAAGAGATGACAACTCCTTCGACCCTCGAAGGCGAAACCGTTTCTGGAACGCTTCTCATGGGCGACGAAAAGAAACGGGTCTTACGCAAGAAGACCTAGCGACGTTACGCTGCGGCTTACGCGGGCTGCCAGCGCGGCACGCCACTCTGGAAGCGAGGGCGCTTACGCGCGACCTTACGCGGGCAGCTTACGCGCGCATGTCGGCGCAGTCGACCCCGTTTTTGGGGGTAGCTCACATAGCGAAGAAGGGTGGAGCCCAATTTTTCGGAAGGGGGGAGGCCCCTCCCTGATCCCTTCTCCCTTCGCATCGCGCCCACACCGCTCCCCCCCCCCTCCCTACCCTTTCCTCGTGGCCCCCTTGGGACCCTGGGCCCAGGATCAGTCAGTATCGAATCGCGAACTCGGATCGAATCGAAAGTGTGCACCGCGTCGGGCTGCATCGGCACGGAATCGAAATCGAACTGGATAGGCTGCGCCTGGCCCCGCGATCTCTGGCACGCTGGTTGGCGGGCGCGGCGGGGCGGGCGAGCACTGACTCGCCGTGCACCGGCGGCGCCCTGGTAGTTACAGACAGTCCTGCTTTGAAGGCATCCGCGGCCTGGGCATTCAACTCGGCCGTAACGTGGTTGCCCATGACCGGATAGGTCGACAGGATGCACAACAGCGCCGTGCAAGCATCGGGCCGCATCGCATCGTCCGAATAGCGGAACCGAATCGAATCGGACCGGCCGAGCACGAATCGACATCGAACCGTTCCAATCGGATCGACGTGGGCCCTGGGGCCCCACCTGCACCCTCTTTGGGGCCCACTGGGCCCCTCTCTTCGGACCGTCTGGCGCCGTCCTGCGGCCGTGAAGAGGGCCTGCTCGGAGGGCGGCCTCTCGGGGCTGCGCGGGAGCGAAGGAGCTGTCGGTGGTGGCAAGGCGTCACGAACGAGTCTAACTGCGGGTGAAACACAGTGAGAGCCACACCGGACTAGAGCTCCGATGAGGAAAACGTACCCGTACCGCTGCCCTTGCCTCGCTTTCCCCTTTAGGGGCCTCCTGGGCTGCCCTCGTCGCCACCGCTGGATTCGCTTCGAAATTCTGGTCAGAACGCACCCCGGGAGAGGTCCGGGGAGTAGCGGTATCGGTATCTTTTGATATACCCAGCCTCACCGAGCTGGAGCAGTGTGTGCATAACGGTTCCTACGCGTCCTCTGCCCGGTCCACGGTGTACATGACCCTGTTCAACTTTCTCTGGATGATGCAGTAGGCAGAAGCGCACGACAAAACCGCAACAAAGCAGACGGTGCCCAAGAACAGCAGAGCGCCATACTTGTCGTTGAAGCTCGCATGCTTCTTGAGCAAGTCCTTTTTGGACGCCCGAAATGGGTGCGGAAGAAATGGGTGAGATGCCCAACAACGCACGTTGTCCAAAACCGACAGCGGCCGCTGTTGGGCAGGCGGCCTCATGTCTCAAATGGACAGCGTCCACATCGACACCGACAGCGAGTCCTATTCAAATAGACAGGAAATTCTGTCGGCCTTCCGTATCCATTCCGATCGTCCCGCGATCCTTGACGGCGTCCAACTTGCTCTTCTTGGTGCCATTCATCTTGTCAACGATGGCCTTGTTCTTGAGCTTCCCGGCCAGGGCCGACTTGCAGGCCTTCGTGAAGCCCTCTGCCTCCAAAGGGGCCCAGGGGCACACAAACAAATACACACAGATCCCAGGGTTCCCCATGTTTTGCCATATTTTCTGGATTGTCGCCTCCCCCTCCTCTTCCCGCATTTTCCGTATTTTTCTGGGGATGGACTTTTGTTTGTGCCTGTGTTTTTGTTCCCGCCCGAGCCTCTTCCTTCACGTTCAAGTTCAGGCACACCATCATCCGCATATCCCCAGGAGGCACATCCTGGTGTAGGGCAATGTTGAGGGGACAGGCTCGGGGTGGGGGAACATCGTGGAGACATCGCAGATAGATCGGCGACAGGCACCCGATGGCAAAACCGCTAGTTCCTGGGCAAGGTGGGCTATCAGGCCCCCGTCGGCGATGAATGAGCGATTGGGGGCCGATGCGCCCACCCCGAGCCTATCCCGTCCCCGGTTGCTGGCGGGCCACAACTCGGCCCTCCGGCGGCGGTTCGGCACGATTCCGGCACCTCCGGAAAGCCCTCGACGAGGCGCAGCTATGCTGGAAACTGCCCTGGGCCTCGACAACTCGTTGAATGAACTTCGGCAGCGCTAACGAGGCGGACCCGCTCAGGGGTGGGGGGGGCCCTCGTGTAAATAATGATCCAAATCTCTCCACCCACAACCTCTTGATGCAAGAAGAAACAGATATAGTATAATCTGATAGTATACCGATGTCAAACTAGACTGTCGTTGAGTGCGTCCACCCCCCCGCCACAGCTGGCGGGTCCACAGCCAAAACGGCCGCGGTGAACAAGAGAGTGCAAGCATGAGCGAGCGAGCGCACCAGCAGAGATAATTCTAATTATCATCCTATATCTCACATCCCTGCTAATACAACTTTCACACAGGAAAAGGAAACCTTGCTAAATAATGCCTTGGCAAATTCTGCAGCAAGCTTCTAGAATTTTCAATAATACGATCGGCTCGAACGGTCAAGCTACCGCCCGTGCACCAAGCAACAGATATCAAGAGAAAAGAAATCCGCACACTGAGCAACATATACTAAGATATAACATATTTACCTGAGGTCTTGAGGGGGCGCTTTCACTCAGCATCTGAAAAAATGAAAACAAAAAAAAAACTCATCATCCTCACCACCATTCACATCCGAGCCACTGCCATGGCTGGCTCAAAGATATCGTCACATACGTGGTAGTGGAGATCAGCGTACACGCACTGCTGACTTGATGATGCTGTGTGCAATGTAGCTCTTGATGCTCGGGTCGAGGTTATAACTCCTGCTCTCGTCTGCGTCCAGCTTGAGACACCGCCCTCGGCAATTTGCGCAGTGCCTGTCCTTCGTATAGATCGTCTCGTAGCTGTCGCCCTCGTACTTGCCACTCCTGACTATCGTCGGTCCCATGGTCTCCAGCCACTGCCTCAGTAGAGCACTATCTCCCAGCATGATTGGTCCATCTCCCATGATCTCGTCATCATAGGTCTCTGGATCGGCTCGTACTGCGAGTGTTGTCGTCGTAGCTTTCGGCGTAGCCTTCGCCGTCCTGGATTTGACCTTGACCGGCTTCTCGGGCAACTCCGGCTTGAACAGGTTGTCGCTGCTTGAACTACCCACCTCCATCGGCTCAGCGGTGTCCTCGTCGTCGTTCTGCTTACGCTGCCTTACGTAGGTGAATATGATGATACCCGCGATGATAGAGACTACTGTCACCACCGTAGGAGACATCGAAAGACAAACTCCATACACTGCAAGCGCACAGAGTTGAAACAGAACTACAACTTGGTCAGGTATCTGGATGGTTCTCTGCGCGCCACTCCTCTCCATCGGGTAATTGTCCGTTAGCTCTTCCGTGTGGAATGCCTCGACGTAGTCCTCGTCTTGAACTTCGTCCTTGTCGTCATAGAAGCACTCGTCCACGTAGTTGTACGTCTCCACCGGCCACGTAGAGATCTCCTCGTCGTCCTTCCCGGTGTCGTCGCACAGCTCCTGCTTGACGTACTTGGCCATCTTCGCGTTTAGCTCGTCTACCTCTTTGTTGGCTGCCACCTTCTCTGGTCCAACAAGCTTTCGTCCGCGTATTGATGGTGCCTTGTTATCATGCCCAAGAGTCCACAAGTGTGATGTAACTATCTTCCTCGCGTAGCCTCCTGAAAGTACTTTCGTCAAACAGTCCGCTAGCATCTGCTCGCTCTTGACCCACTTGATGCTGACCTCTTTGAGCGACTGCCGCAATATAGCCGCTTCCAAAGAAAGCCTCCTGTCCGTCATAGAAATCTTCTCCTTTGTGATCGCGTCGCATAGGCTCTTGCAGTGGGTCACCGAAATGCATTTCACCGGGCAGGTGTCGTGCACAATCTCGGTCATGTCCATCTGCGGGTACAGGATCTCCGCCAGGGTCGACCTCGCCCATATCAGCATGTCCACTAAATCCGCACATGAGTAGGCCTCCGCTGATAGAGTAGATCGCACCACTCGTTGAATCTTGGAGGACTGCCACCCACTGCAGTGTACCTTGTACTTGTTGCTGTGGTCCTCGTTGATCTTCTGGTCGACCAGCATGATGAATTGTCCGCGTTGTGATCTGTGCTTCGGCAGATTGTCGAAAGCACTGTCGGTGACATTGATCACCATGGTCTTCCACAGGTTCAGGCCTGCTGAGAACCTGATCAGCAAGTCGTCCCGCTTCTGAATCCGCCTGATGGCCGCGTTGCCGTCCTGTAAGTCCTTCGCCGTCGGAGCTCCCAGCGTAGATGCCAGTCGGGATGCCTCGAAGGCTTCCTCGAAGCATATCACTCGCGCAGCCCATTGCAGTTGCCCAACTACCATTCGTAGTCCACGATGCTCTGCATGGGTCAAGGCGCTATATTATGCCTTGCTGCGCTCTCTAGAGATACGTACAGTCTGCATCGACTTCACGTAGGCCTCCATGCATCATGGTGACGTTGATGCTGCCGTCCTTGTCCTGCTTGTAGGCCCGGCCACACAACGTCGCCTGCTCTTTCCTCGCGTACTTGACCTCGCCAAAGTCAATCTCCTTCTGCAGGTCCTTCATGATCTTGGCGCCCTCCGGGTCGTCCTGCTTGATGCCCATGAGCAAGTCATCCACGTGGAGGCACATGATCCCGATGATCGCGCCCTTCGCATTGCGCTTAATGAAGGTCGCGAGCTCGAAGCTCAGGCCTTCCCATCCAAACTTCACGAGCGTCTCGCGTAGTGCCACATACCACGCACGAACTGCATCGTTGGTCCCGTAGACGCTCTTGTTTAACTTCAGCAGGTCGCCTGCCTTTACTCCCGGGATGTTGCGCTCCCCGAGGTTCGTCGGGATAGGGAAGTAGAGCTCGCGTGTGATGGCTTGCAGAAAGGCTCCCTTCACATCTGCGATGACTAGGTCCAAGTTGAGGCTTGATACGATGCTGCACAGGAGTAACGTCATCTGTGCTGAGACTGTAGGCGAGTCCCGCCGTAGCTTGTCGTCGAACTCCTCCTCGTAGCCTCTCCCACAAATCCTGGCCTTCGGCTCGAAGGTCGTGGGTCCTTATCAGTCCAGACCACCTTGGAGCTCAGGATCTTGTCCGGGTCGACCTTGTCGACTGCTGCTCCTGATATGTGGGTTGCTGCATCATACTTGCACGACGTGTTCCACTCCTTCTCCACCGCCTGCTGCATCTTCTTCCACTTGAGCTTGTCGTCACCCAGCGTCTTCAAGTTGATCTCCTGATGTTTGTTGGCTCTCGTCGGTTGGCTGCACATCCGTTCGGCCACGAACGCCTCGACGAGTAGCGGTGTATCTGCCAGCTGCTTGACTGGCCCAGTCTGTGCTCGGGCTCGTTTGATGCTGATCGGCACATCGCCCAGCAAGAACTCCTTCATCGTGACTGGGTGCTCCTGGCGCTTGCCCTGCGCAGGTTGTCGCGTACTTGGCGATGATGTAGCCGGCTGATCCTGCGGTGCCTCTGCTGGTACTGCTGCCGTCTCCTCCGCCTTCTGGCGTTCCTCCATGTGCCTCTGGATCCTGGCAGGTATTCGAAGCAGAGCTCGATCGTCCTGAGCGTCGTCCCGCTTGGTCTGCTTGAGCTTCAGGTCCTTCTTGGCGTGCTTCTTGCCTCCGCGCTTCACCTCCTTAGGTTCCTCCATGGTCTCGTCGGTGTTGGTAGGCTCCTGCGGGGCTGCTGCAGGCTGTTGGCCACCTCCTGGTCCATCTCGAGCTTCCGCTTCCTTTCCCAGAGTGATCTCCTCGATGGTCGTGACGGGGTCTTGCGATACCACATCGTCGATGATCTGAGGATTGGCTGTCCAGTCCACTCTCGAGACATCTTGAACCAGGTCGCGCGCGTCCAAGTTGAAAAACCGCGGCCTCTCGATCTTGCACCCAGGTGTCGGGTCAGGTAGAAGAGGGGCGTTCCTGACGGTATCCAGCTGCCTCAGGTCGGTCTTGCCCTGGCTGCTGGCCGCCACTGCTCCCAAGATGGTGTCCCAAGCTTGGTGCGCTCGAACAAGTCGTGCTCGAAGGTCTTCCTCCGCTTGATCTTGATCAGCTGGTACTGTCTCGAACTCGTCGTGCAGCCTCTGACGCATTGGCATCACGTCGTTATCGTGTACCACTTCCGATCGTCGGTGCACTCGGGGGTGCATCACCTTGTCCACCTGCTGGCTGTGGTGGAACATCGCCCTGTCCAGGATGCTGCTGATGTCCTGGATCTCGGTGACCTTGATGTTGATCTGGCTGCTGATCTGGCCGTTGATCTGGCTGCTGGTCTGGCGGTTGATCACCTCGTGCTGGGCTATACTGTTGACTTCGAAGGTCCAGAAAACCACGCTGACCAACTCGTCCACGTGCAGGTCCGCTGTCTGAAAACAGGCCGGTGAACTGCATGGTGGTCACCTCGTGCTCAGTCGCCCTTCGAAGGAGACTGGGTGAACTTAGGATCGGGATCCTGTTGTGGATCAGCCAGTAACAGTGCTCATCCTTGCCCACACACCGGGCAGGTCCATGCCATCGTGCATGCAGGTTACGCTCTAGGTTATCAGATCGCCAAAACATCGATAAATCACCTTGCTGAAATGGCCCTGGCTGGGGCCTCGTCCTCGCCAGAACTGCCCGTCTCAATGCTGATGAGTTTGCTGCCCTGAAAAAGGATTCCGAACAGATCTGTTGAAGATGTAGTCGGTTCCAGAATGACGTATTCTCGGCCAATCGCGAAACCACTGCTGGGTCGTTGTCAGGATTCGCCAAACTTGCAGGTAATCGGTGTCCAGCT